CAAAAAAATTAAAAAAAAAAATAAACGACAATAATAACAGATTTAATCCATTGAATAAAATAGGAATTCATGAGTATGTACTTAGAAAAGAATGACTAAGTGTGGAAAGGAGAAAACGTCTCTCTGCAATAGAGTACCAGCAGGTGAATGTAGTTGTAATAGTAGCATTAGAAACTCACCATTGGGGTCAACAGGTGGCGGGGCAGTTAAGGGGGCCGGATCCCACGTGGCCAACAGCACAGTGTGAGTCCTGAGCCCTGTCGCTTGATCCTTTACGCCAGGTGCATGTGCATGGAAGCCCAAAATCTGGAGAGCAGGTTGGAAGAGAAGAGATTGCAGCGTGGCCATTCCCCCGGAAGGTTGACTTCTCCCTTCCCTTCTTTCTCCGGTAAGTACACGTGCCCTATAGCAAACTAAAACAAAACAAAAATTTTTTAAATCACCGTTGGCAAATACCAGAGTGATAATGAATCCAGCCAGGAAACATCAATTAACACTAAAACTATTGGGATCAGCTGTTAGCTTAATGTCTATGCCACTGTACTCCCATGTAGTTAACCACAGTTCAAGTCCCAGACCTGGTGGCTTAAACTCAATGCCAGACGCATGTGCATGTGTGCCCAAGGTCCTGAAAGGAGAATGAAGGAGAAGGGATTGTAGAGTGGCCACCTCCCCTGGAGGGTGGAGAGAGAGAGAGAGAGAGAGAGAGAGAAATGAGAAACACCATTTACATCGTTCAGTGTGTTCCTTTTGTAATAAGTGCAACATACTTAATTGCAAAAGCAACCGACGGGAGAAATCTGACAGACTCCACTTTACTCAAGTTATCCTAGTTAGGTTTTTTTGTTTGTTTGTTTTGAATCAAGTTATCATAGTTGTTAACATCATCATAGTTGTTAATATCACCAGAGTTGAGATAGATCAGTTGTGTACTACTCGATACAATGCAGTAAGGACACGGCGTTGCTTCAGGAATAGTCTTACTAAAAGTGCATACTGTGAATCGCTTCCTGAGGAAACATCATACAAACCCTAATTGAGGGGCTGTTCTTTAAAATAACTAAACAGTAATCTTCAAAAGTGCCAAGTTCACGAATGCCAAGGAAATATGGAGAACTGTTTCAGTTTAAAGGAGCCTTGAGAGACATAAAGATAACATGAGATCCCAGCTAAACTATGTAAGGCTTTAAATTTGTAGTGACTGGTTACACGGCACAGCACACTAATACATAAATCACCTTACTCATGAACATAGATTTAAAATTTTTTTTAACTAATAAAAAATTGTTTTTACTTAGAAGCATTCAGAATGTCAACAAAACAGCTGCAACTTTTTTTTTTTTTGCAATTACAGAGTGGCATTCAGTTAACAGAACAACAATTATTTCATATAAGCTGCATCAGAGACAACTGAAGATGAAAAAACTACCATCCCCATATATAACTAATTTGTAGTGCGCACCAACAAGAACCTGCTTTAAATTTCCATGCCAATTTACAATCCCCTTACTGAATCAGGCAAGATTAGTGGCTATTGAAAATACCACCAGGACAGGGCTATCGAAAGACACATTCGGTATATATTAAGTGGGGACATACAATGTCTCTCCTTCATAGCCTGGCTTGCTTCACTCAGCAGTAAATCTTTTATATTATTCCCCTTTCTGTCAAAAGCCAGGGTTTTGTTTGTTTGTTTGTTTTTTATTTTTTTTAATGGCTGAATAAGAGATTAATCAAGCAGTAAAACTTTCTCTGAATGGAGACTATGATCCCAAGTTCTTCCATTTTTCCCCAAAATAAAAAACAGATTCTATATAGAAAAGTTGAAAAAAAAAAAAAACACATTCGGTAGTGTGTTAACAAAAAAAAAGGCACTGTATAGTTTAAAAACAAATCTTACATTTCAATTTTTTTCTTTAAAAGAAGTGAGTTGTGTACAGGGGGATTAAATGCTTTTTTTAGACAAAGGGAAAAAACTGCACTATAACCAACTTGTCATCATCTTCATCCTCTTCATCTTCCTCGTCTTCCTCCTCCTCCTCCTTTTTCTTGCTCTTTTTGATCTTGACAACTCCCTTTTTTGCTGCATCAGGCTTTCCTTTAGCTCAGTATGCAGCAATATTCTTTTTATATTTTTCCTTCAGTTTATCAGCCTTCTTTTCATAAGGCTGTTTATCACCTTATGCAGCAGCGTTATTCCACATCTCTCCCAATTTCTTTGCAGCATCACCAATGGATAGGCCAGGATGTCCTCCTTTGATTTTTGGGTGATATTCAGAACAGAACAAAAAAAAGGCCGAAGGAGGCCTCTTGGGTGCACTGGGATCCTTGAACTTTTTTGTTTCCCCTTCAGGAGGGATATAGGTTTTCATTTCTCTTTCATAATGGGCCTTGTCCGCCTTTGCCATATCTTCACACTTTCCTTCCTCTTTAGCAGACATGGTCTTCCCCCTCTCTGAGCACTTCTTAGAAAACTCTGAGAAGTTGACTGAAGCATCTGGGTGCTTCTTCTTGTGCTCCTCCCTGCAAGTTCGCACAAAGAATGCATACGATGATTTTGCCTCTCGGCTTCGTAGGGTCTCCTTTGCCCTTGTTTAGTTATCTTTCCTCTGCGAGGCACAGAGTTGCCTGGTGCCCGTCCGGCTCTCACTTGCCCCGGCGCTATCTCCATGGAGCTCAATGTACTGCAATGGCTCTAAAAATCTCGGACAAAGTAATTAACAAATAGAATCCAACAATTCATGAAAATGATACTACACCATAAGATGTGATAGAATATTAGTTTAATATGTGAATATCATCCGTAATTAACCACAACAGGGTCAGCCAATGGTGTGGTTATGGTGGCCAGATCCCACATGACTGACTGCACAGTTGGAGTCCTGGACCCGCTGGCTGGAGAGACACGTCCTCACATGTGTATGTCTGCCCGGAACACTAAGAGGATAATGGAAGAGAAGAGACTGAAGAGTGATCGGCCCTCCTGGGGAGTGCTTTGTCATGTTCTCTCTTTGTCTCTCTCTAGTGAGTGCATGGAGTGCATGTGCCTTATAGCAAATTACAAAAAAAAAAAAAAAGGAAAAAATAAAAACAGGAAAGAAAAGAAGAAAACTCAATCACAACAGAATAAAGAAGAAAAATCTCATATTTGCTTCAATAAATACAGAAAAAATTTATCACATGCACTATTCATGATTATAACTCAAAAAACTATCCTGCAAACATCACGGTGACAATTACCCACTGTCGACACTTCCATTCAGCATTTTACCGAAGGGCCTAACTAGTCAAGAAAAGTATAAAATAAAGGATATAGATACTGGAAAGGGGAAATATATTTTTTGTTTGTTTTTCAGATAACTTAAATATGTTTGTAAAAAAACCCAAAGACCTGGGACCAGCAGTTGGCATAATGGCTATGTCACTGGACTCCCATGGAGTCAACCGCGGTTCAAGTCCCAGACTCGGTGGCTTAAAAAACTCACACCGGGTGCATGTGCGTGTGTGCCCAAGATCCCGAGAGGAGAATGGAGGAGAAGGAATTGTGGCATGGCCATCCCCCCTGGGGGGTGATTTCTCGCTTTCTGTCTCTCTGGTGAGCACACATGCCCTATAGCAAAAACCTCTCAAAAAACAAACAAACAAAAAAGACCTATATAAAATTTAGAGTTAACAGCAAGCAGATGGTATGGTGGACCCCACATGGCCAACCACAGTTCAAGTCCCAGACCTGGTGGCTTGCTTTCTCACTTTCCCTATCTTTTTGGTCAAATTCAAAAAGAATGACAATGTTAAATAAAATTAAATAAATAGTACTTTAAAAGAATTTGGAGTTAAGTAAGGTTGGATTGGTTCCTGGGTATAAGATCGCTATAAGGCAGATAATTACATTTTTTACCTACCGGAATCAAACAAAATAAAAATTGCTTTAATTACCGGAGGACACATTCACTTGCCAAAGAGAAAGCAGAGAGAGTGCGAGCTCCCCACAATGGGGCATGGTCACACCGCGATCCCTTCTCCATTTCGCCATCCTGTTGGCATTTGGGGCACATGTGCGCACAAGCCCAGTGTGTTTTTTGAGTCACTGGGACCAAGATTCAAAATGCATAGTCAGCCATGTGGGAGCCAGCTCTCTTAACCTCTGTGCTACAGGGCCAGCCCCAAACAACGTAGTAAGGATTAGGAGACACTGAGGACTTGGCAGAGCTCACTGACAAAAGGCTCTCTTTCTACTAAGGTGCTTTCTTTTCTTTCTCTTTTTTTTTAAAATTATATATCTTATTTGTTATTAACGTTATTTTTTAATTCAATACTGTGCATGTGTGCTCACCAGAGAGAGACAGAGAGAGAGAAAGAGGGAAAGTGAGAAAGCAAACCACCAGGTCTAGGATTCAAATCACGTCAGCTGTGTGGGTCCAGTGAGGTAGCCAATCACCACGCCACCTGCTGGCCCCCCGAGGTGCTTCCTTAAGCACAGTTTTCTGTGAAGACTATGAGAGCTCAGAAGATCATGTGTGTTCTGCTACTTTTGAGCTAATAAGATCTCTAAGAAACCCCGTGTGGAACCAGTACTGTGTGCGTCTCTGCACCCCGTCCCCCTGCCCATGCATGAGTGGACCGTGAAGAGGAATACTCTGCTCCATCCCAATGCAGAGCATCTGGGGAGCAGTAAGATCCAGCTCTCTTCCTCCCCAGGGTAAAAATCATACCCTCGGGGCTCCTAGGAGTGGGGCGGTCCTTCCAGTGCCAGGCACAGGCAGGGTCGCCATAGCCCCGCTAACTCCGTGGAGGTTAACCTGTTGTGCACCGCGTACGGCAGATGTGTGCGTGCGTGTGTAAGAGACAGATGCACAAGCAGTCTGGGCGGTGGAGGAAGAGCTGTGCTGTGTGCGGTTCACGCTGAGCTCTAGCCTCTGAAGCACTTCCATCAGCCAGGCAGCAGTGTCCTCATGGCAACACTCTAGAATCCTGAGGATGAATGGGAGGGATTATGATGTTTGGAAAAATCCGAGTGGGAATGGCGCTGACTCAGGCAAAGCCAGTTCGCAGTGGTGAAGGTGGGAGGAGCCTGTAACCAGCCGGAGCCACAGGCTTGGAGCGATGAGAAGCATCAGATGTAGCTCCTGAGAGGAAGTGAAGTCCGACGAGGGTCCATCGCAATGACTTCCCGGCCATCTTTCCCTCCGGATGACTTCGGGGCCTACTACGTCCTGTGAGCCTCTGTCTCCTAGAGCTTTCTAGAGGGGCTCAGTCGGGGGGAGAGTGATGCCGGGAGGAGTCGAGGATACCTGCCAGGCTGGGAAGGGTTCCACCAGGTGTGACCCATGAGGGACCCCCAAAGGGAAGGGAAGACAGCAAATAGCACTTACAAAAGGAAACTGCACGGGGAGAGGAGGCCTCCCTGGGAACTCGCAGGTTCTCTCTGGCCAGTTTGTACGAAACTCTAATTCTACCGTTTACTGCTGTTAAGGACATCCTAGATCAGTCACAAAAAGTTGTTTTTTCCCCTTTAGATTTTTGCTATAGGATGCATGCACTTACTAGAGAAAGAGAGGGTGAGAAATCACCCCCTGGTTTCCTTTCCATCTGGCGGCAGCCATCAGGGAGTTATATGTTGGTGTTTAAAATGCATGGTATAATAGGCATAAAAATAAATTCTTTAAAACAATGAAAAAGAAAAAAAAAAAGTCACTCCCTCGGGGATGGCCACGCTGCAATCCCTTCTCCTCCATTCTCCTCCCAGGATCTTGGGCACACGTGCACATGCACCTGGCGTGAGTTTCAAGCCACCAGGTCTGCGACTCGAACTGCACTAGACCACATGGGAATTCAGTGATGTAGCCACTGTGCCATCTGGTGACCCCAATATATGGCAATAATTGTTATTAACAATTTTCTTTTTTTTTAGAGAGAGATATTTTTGCTATAGGGTGCCTGTGCTTGCCAGAGAAACAGAGAGAGAGAAACAGAAAGTGAGAAATCATCCCCCCCACCCCCCCGTGGGAGGTCATGCCACAATCCCTTCTCTTTCATTCTCCTCTTTGGATTTTGGGCACATAAGCACAACGCCCCCCCGTCAGTCTTAAGCTGCTGGGTCGGGACTCACACCGTGGTCGACTATGTGGGAATCCAGAGACATAAACATTATGCCATCTGCTGCTCCCAACAATGTTCTATTATTAGTATTACTACTACTAATAAATACTTGCCCTGCAAAAAAGGAAAAACTTACTCAGTAGGAAAGCTTGTGTTTTTAGCCAAGCAATTCTAGGACTCTGAAAGATACATATATATTCACTTCTCTTCCTTTGGTCTTATTAACTTTATTTATTTATTTATTCATTTTAATTTGACCAGAGAGAGAGAGAGAAAGTGAGACAGCAAGCCGCCAGGTCCAGAGCTTGAACTGCAGACAGCCATATGGGAGTCCAGTGCCCCTAACCACCATGCTCCCTGCGTCCCCCACATGCACTTTCTATCATGAATAAAAAGCAAAACAAAAATGTCAAAAAAAATTTAACAAAATAAAGATCGCCAGGGGCCAGCAAAATGGCATGGTGGTTAAGGTATTGGAGTCCCGCATGACCACCTTTTTGAGTTTGAGTCCTGGACCTGGTGACATGCTTTCTCACTTTCCCTCTCTCTCTGGCCAAATTAGAAAATAATACTTTATTATTATTTTCTAATAATAATACTTTATTCATTATTATTTTCTAATAATAATACTTTATTATTATTTCCTAATTTGACCAGAGAGAGAGAGAGAGAGAGGGAAAGTGAGAAAGGAAGCCACCAGGTCCAAGACTTGAACCATGATTGGCCATGTGGGAGTCCAATGCCTTTAGTTACCATGCCAGCCACATACCTGCCAGCCACAATAATTCTCCTTTTTAAAAAAATAATGATTTAATTTAACTTTATTTATTTTAACTTGACCAGAGAGGGACAGAGTGAGAGAGAGAAAAAGTGAAAAAGCAAGCTGTCAGGTCCAGGACTTGAACCATGGTTGGCCATGTGCCCTTAATAAATAAAGAATTCTTTTTTTAAAAAAGGAAAAAAGGGACCAGCAGTTAGCGTAATGGCTATGTCGCTGGACTCCCACATAGGTTCGAGTCCCGGACCCGGTGGCTTAAACTCACGCCGGGCACGTGTGCGTGCATGCCCAAGATCCCGAGAGGAGAATGGAGGAGAAGGGATTGCGGCGTGGCCATCCCCTCTGGGGGGAGATATCTCACTTTCTATCTCTCTGTCTCTGTCTGGCGAGTGCACATGCCCTATAGCAAAAACCTCTCCAAAAAAAGAAAAAAAGATCTCAGGGACCAGCATGTGCCATGGTGGTTAAGGCACTGGACTACAACATGGCCAACCCCTGTTCGAGTCCCAAACCCGGCAGCTTGAAAAATCACACCAACGCATATGTGTGTGTGTGTATGTCCAAAATCCAAAGAGGATAATGGAGGAGGAGGGATTGTGGCTTGGCCATCCCCTGTGGGGTTGATTTCTCTTTCTCTCTCACCGTCTCCTTCCGTCTCTTTCCAGCCAGTTCACAGGCCCTATGGCAGAAACCTAGAAAAAAAAAAAGGAGAAAAAATTATTTCTTTATTTTTTGAGGTTAAGAGGATTTACTGTCGTTGTATTTATTTTGTCCCCTTAAAATGCTTTCTTCCTGGGGTCCTGCAGGTAGCATGGTAGTTAAAGGTGGTGGACTCCCACATGGCCAACCATGGTTCGAGTCCCGGACCTAGTGGCTTGCTTTCTCATTTTATTTCTCTCTCTCCCTCTCTGGTCAAATTAAAAATAAATAAGTAAAGTTAAATAAAAAATAATTCTTTTTTTTTAAAAAAAAATGCTTTCTTCCTTTCCTTGTATACCGACACAGTGCAGAGTGCACGGATCACAAGGACACCCCTGCACTCAGTGAGGCTGATGAGAACCAGTCCCACATCGAGGGTGTGACCGGCCTGCGCAACCTGGGCAACACCTGCTACATGAACGCCATCTTGCAGTGTCTCTGCAGCATCTCGCCGCTGGTGGAGTACTTCCTGTCCGGGAAATACATGACCGCTCTGCAAAAGTAAGAGCGTCTGTGCGTCCTGCAGCTCACCCCTGCCCCCAGCTTCCCGGAAGTGGAGTTAAGGGAAGGAGGCCCCTGGAAGGCCCGCTAAGGGCTGACAGGGTCAGTAGAGGCTAGGCCGTACCTCGCCGGCTATCGGATGGGGGTGAGTCAAGCAGGAAGCCCAGCCATTTAGAAATGAAGCTCCATTTTTGGACCCCCGCTCCCTAGTGACTAGGGGCCTTCCTTTCATTAACTCAGCCCGAAACACGCCCCTTCCTTTTCCCAAGGGACTGCAGTGAGGTTGCCACTGCTTTTGCCTACCTGATGACAGACATGTGGCTTGGAGACTCCGACTGCGTCTCCCCAGAAATATTTCGGTCGGCTCTTGGCAACCTCTACCCGGAATTTATGAAAAAGACACAACAGGATGCTCAGGAATTTTTGATTTATGTCCTAAACGAACTTCACGAAGCTCTGAAAACAGTGAGTAGAATGAGTGGCCTTGAAATAGGTCTGCAATTTTGTTTTTCTTTCAGAGATTTTTGCTGTAGGGCGTGTGCAGTCTCTGGAAAGAGAGAGAGACTGAGAGACAGAAAGTGAGAGGTCATCCCCATAGGGGATGACCACACTCACCACGACCCCTTCTCCATTCTCCTCTCAGGATTTTGGGTATGCATGCACATGTGCTCGGTGTGAATTTCAAGCTGCTGATCTGGGACTTGAACCACAGTTAACCATGTGGGAGTCTAGAGCCTTAACCACTATGCCACCTGCTGGCCCTACGTTTGCAGTTTTATCAGCAACCAACACTTTTTATTCAGTTAGTTAATATTGCCTACTCTGTGCCAAGGGCTGCTAGGTGCGAGGGGTACTATGAAGAACATCCAGTCTAGTATTTGAATGTAAAATTGTATTGAACAGGGCCAGCAGGTGGTATGATGGTTGAGGTGCTGGACTCTCACATGCTCAACTGTGGTTCGAGTCCTGGACCAGTGGCTTGCTTTCTCAATTTCCCTCTTTCTCTTTCTCTGTCTCTGGTGAATACAGGTGCTATGTAGCAAATTAAAACATGATAATAAATTAAATTAATTAATTTTTAAATGTATTTTACCAAACTTACAGATCATCAGAATTAGCTGGGAAGGTTTTTTTCTTAAAGAAATATTTAATTTAATTTTATTTATTAATTCACTTATTTTAATTTGACCAGAGAAAAATAGAGAGAGAGGAAAAGCAAGAAAGCAAGCCACCAGGTTCAGGACTCGAACCATGGTCGACCATGTGGGAGTATACAGTGCCTTAATCACCACACCATCTGCTGGTCCCCAGGAAGGTTTTTCTTTTCTTTTCTTTTTCTTTTTTTTTTTTTAGTTCCTTATTGTTTATTCTTCTCTTACAAAAGACACCTGGAACAAATAAATATAAAGTGGTATGTGTTATTTTTAACAAGGGGCAAATACACATTTTCTTAGTATTTTCCTTAGGAATAAACTAACAAGTTTTCAGGGCACACTCATCCTACCCACCTCCTACTCTCCTTAATTAAAAAAAAAAAAAAAAAAGTCCATCTTTTAAAAAAGTCCATCTTTTAAATTCCTTACAACTTTTAACAATGGATGCTCAAAATAAGCGCTGTGAAAGTACTTAGGAACCACGAAATTGAAACGAGCAACTTAAAAAAACCAGATGTACCAAAAAAATCACATACACACATATACATGCATACATACATACATACACAGTGTGATGCTGTCCAGAAGCTCCAGCTAATGAGTATTCTTACAAGTTTTTCATTTCTTATAATGTGCCTGAATAAAGAGTCTGTTCCGTTCAAATCTGCACGGCAAATGAAACAAAGCTGAGCAGAGCGTGCACACAGCCTCCTGTGCTGACATAAATACAGCACATTTGCTATACGGTGAACACACCATGTGTTTTCTGATACCCCCAAAATCCCGATTCCTATACCCTGGAGGGGATGGCAGAGGTGAAGACCAAGAGTGTGACCGAATTTAGCCGTAAAATGCCCCCTGCCTGTTTGGCTCACAACAGTGCATTGAGCTGCGAGCAATGAGAAGTACCCGGATGTGTTTGCTTTACTAAAACATACACTCCGGCAAATACTTGAAGTGCTTTGCTAATGCTTTCAGTGAAATATTTTTACTTAATGCTTTACCAACAAGTAGAAATATGTACTACAGTTATTTCAAACCGGAACAAAAAGGGTAATTCTCTCCTCTGCCTTTTATATGTTTTTCAAAAATCCATTTCAAGGGACCAGCAGTTGGCGTAATGGCTATGTCTCTGGACTCCCACGTAGTTGACCTCAGTTCAAGTCCCGGACTCGGTAGCTTAAACTTAACACAGGGCATGTGTGACCAAGAGAATGGAGGAGAAGGGATTGCGGCATGGCCATCCCCTCTGGGGGGTGATTTCTCACTTTCTGTCTTTCTGTCTCTCTCTTTCTGGTGTGCGTATGTGACCTATAGCAAAAACCTCTCCAAAAAAAAAAAAAAAATCCCTTTCAAATACTACTTTACTTAGTGTTTTACAATCACTTTCCTCTTCATGAAAACCTTCCTCCCCAGTTAGGAAGGCAGAAAATAATATAAAATGTTTCCAGGGTCATCATCAAAATAACCAAGTGGATCTGAAACATACTTCGGGGTACTCTGTGCCCCCGTGGCCCTGTGCAAGTTAATTACACTTTAGTAGATCCCCCTAAGGTTGAAAACATGAGCACGGAAGATGAGAATGGGAAGTGTCAGAAAAAGGAGAACTGCACCTAAGGAAGAGCACCGGAAGACGGAGAGAGGCGAGTGCTGCCGTCCCACCTGTCAGTGTGGGAGACTGTCGGGGGCTCCATGTGCATAACAGCTTAAGTTCTCCAAAACAGTTTTTCTGGGTGCTGTATCTAAAACGTTCAAAGCCATTTAAAATTAAGGAAAAAATATACTTAAAACCTTTTTCAAAATCTTGTGGGTAAAGATCATTAAGCCATGAGATTCGTTTCACAGTTAGCAAGGCCCCACTCTAGAAGTGCGAAGAAACAGCAGAGCCCAGGACCAGCGGCTGGCGTAATGGCTATGTCACTGAACTCCCATGTAGCCAACCACGGTTCGAGTCCTGGACCAGGTGGCTTAAACTCATGCTGGGGCGCACATGCGTGGGAGCCCAAGATCCCAAGAGGAGAATGGAGGAGAAGTGATTGCGGCGTGGCCATCCCCCCTGGTTGGTGATTTCTCACTTTCTGTCTCTCTGTCTCTGTCTCTCTGGCAAGCACACATGCCCTAGAGCAAAAACCTTGCAAAAAACAAAAACAGGGAACCAGCAGTTAGCGTAATGGCTATGTCGCTGGACTCCCACGTAGTCAACCGCAGTTCGTGTCTCGGCCCCGGTGGCTTGAATCTCACGCCGGGCGCGTGTGCGTGCGTGCCCAGGATCCCGAGAGGAGAATGGAGGAGAAGGGATTGTGGCGTGACCATCCCCCCTGGGGGGTGATTTCTCGCTTTCTGTCTCTATGTCTCTGTCTGTCTGGCGAGCGCACGCGCCCTATAGCGAAAACCTCTCAAAAAAAACAAAAACAAAAAAAACAAACAAACAAAACCCCAGCAGAGCCGGACCAGAAAGCCCCTGGACACAGTCAGGACATCCCCAAGAGTCACAGGCACTGGACTCAGTGACTCACATTCGCCTCCTTGTGGCAGACAACAGTATTTCCACAATGGATGCAGACTACGCCCTCTGTCCACAAGACACAGGTACACATCGCTTTGTGACAACTGAGAAAGCCAAATTTAACTTGAGAACATACAAACCTGGAATATGAATTTGAAGATGGACAGTGCAAACAGCAGTTAAATGGAACCTGTCTACAACAATATTTTATTTTTTTCCTTTAAGGCTACAGAAAATCTGCACATAAGGCATTTAATTCCCATAATAAAAATACCCCCTTACAAACAGCCAGGGCATCCAGTCAGACTGCAGAGTGCTTGTGTTGTATCACATTCTCTCTACGGGAGTATTTCCCTGCAAGTGTCTGTAGGGTTAGGTCAATGTTTTCTGCAAATAGTAGATTCTCACAAACTGCTGCTTCGATTGGTAAACACTGGGGTATTTCTTTAGGTGCCGTGAAGAGAGAAGGTGGAGCATGCATTCAGTCCGCAACTGTGCTGTCTCGTGATGTGTACTCACTTAACGTAACATGCAGGCCTCGTCAGCCTCTAGGAGAGTGGCGTCATTCGTTCTGATCAGCACCCCACCCATTCTCAAGGCGAACCGCAGGCAGGTGATAGCTAGAAGGCGTCCCTCTCACTTTCACACTCAGGCTTGAAACTCCGTGATCATGAGGTTCATCCTCAGGAGAACTTCTTCCAAAACCTTAATCTGTGCTCTGGCTTTCGATTTCTCTGTATCTATATGATCTGTTGTAGGGGCAACCTTTAACTTGAGAGATTCGCCAAACAATGTCCCCTTATAATCTGTAGTTGGGGTCCAGTCATACCTTAAGAGCCTCCTTGGAGTGTCCGCCCTCCCCTGCTTCCCTCCGTTCTTCAGCCCTTGGTGGTGTTTACACACCCTAATGCGTCTGCGGCATTGAACTCTGAACTCGGCACCAGCGCCAGAGCCACGCTGGAGTCTTACAACGTGCCTTCCCAGCATCGTTTCAGGGAGCGAGGCCTACGCAGTTCATCCGCTGCTGCTCCACGTCCGCGGGCTTCATGCTGAGCGTCTCCGCTGTCAGCTACAGAAAATCTGCACATAAGGCATTTAATTCCCATAATAAAAATACCCCCTTACAAACAGCCAGGGCATCCAGTCAGACTGCAGAGTGCTTGTGTTGTATCACATTCTCTCTACGGGAGTATTTCCCTGCAAGTGTCTGTAGGGTTAGGTCAATGTTTTCTGCAAATAGTAGATTCTCACAAACTGCTGCTTCGATTGGTAAACACTGGGGTATTTCTTTAGGTGCCGTGAAGAGAGAAGGTGGAGCATGCATTCAGTCCGCAACTGTGCTGTCTCGTGATGTGTACTCACTTAACGTAACATGCAGGCCTCGTCAGCCTCTAGGAGAGTGGCGTCATTCGTTCTGATCAGCACCCCACCCATTCTCAAGGCGAACCGCAGGCAGGTGATAGCTAGAAGGCGTCCCTCTCACTTTCACACTCAGGCTTGAAACTCCGTGATCATGAGGTTCATCCTCAGGAGAACTTCTTCCAAAACCTTAATCTGTGCTCTGGCTTTCGATTTCTCTGTATCTATATGATCTGTTGTAGGGGCAACCTTTAACTTGAGAGATTCGCCAAACAATGTCCCCTTATAATCTGTAGTTGGGGTCCAGTCATACCTTAAGAGCCTCCTTGGAGTGTCCGCCCTCCCCTGCTTCCCTCCGTTCTTCAGCCCTTGGTGGTGTTTACACACCCTAATGCGTCTGCGGCATTGAACTCTGAACTCGGCACCAGCGCCAGAGCCACGCTGGAGTCTTACAACGTGCCTTCCCAGCATCGTTTCAGGGAGCGAGGCCTACGCAGTTCATCCGCTGCTGCTCCACGTCCGCGGGCTTCATGCTGAGCGTCTCCGCTGTCAGTTTCCAGGGCGGGAAGGAGAGGCTGGGGACCTCGCAGCCCGCAGGCGCTCAGCGGCGTTGGGGCGGCGGCCGGCTTCTCGCCCTTAGCCCGCTGCCCTGCGGCCCGACGCTGCGGCTTTTCTGCCCTCCTCGCCGCCCCCAGAAGGTTTTTCTTTACAGCACAGATTCAGAGGCGCTTGCTCCAAAGTTGCTGAATTAGAGTACCTGAGTTCTCGTTCAGAAAGCGTGCTTGGCATTTCTAGCAATCAGTAAGGTGTGCGGAGCGCTGATACACGTTCTCTGCAAATGACACCTCACGAGGGGCCAGCTGGTGCCTGTGGGTGAGGCCACATCTCATGGGGCCGGCAGTATGATCAAGTCCTGGACCTGGCAGCTTGAAAAACACACCAGGTGTGGGCTGGCCGGTGGCTTCGTGGTTAGAGGCACCGGAATCCCACATGGCAGACCATGGTTTGAGTCCCAAACCTGGTGACGTGCTTTCTTGCTTTCCTTTTCTCTCTCTCTCTCTCTGTGTGTGTCTCTGGTCAGTTAAAAAATAACAAATGAATTAAATAATCTCTGTGTGTGTCTCTGGTCAATTAAAAAATAACAAGTGGAATTAAATAGTTATATTTAAAAAACAAAACAAAACAAAAAAAACACCAGGCACATGTGCACACATCCAAAATCCTGAGAAGCAGGCGTGGCGTGGCCATCTCCCCTGGGGGTGCTTTCTCACTTTCCCTTTCTTTCTGTATCTCTCTGGCAAGCACACATGTCCTGTAGCAAATTGGAAAAAAAAAAAAAAAAAGGAAAAAAAAAGCTGTATAGACTACTTACCCCTCTTTACTGACAGAACAGGTGGGGGAGGAAGGACAGAGACACCGTGTCTGTCAGGGTTCTGCTGTGTCATTATTCTCTTACCTCCACTTCCCAATTAGCCAGGAGTACAGCACCCACTAATCATGTCTAGCATATTCATTTTGGCCCAGGAGCCCTGTGCCTCCCATGTGACTTTCAGCCACCCAGGTGGTATCACTGCCTGTCCACTATGGTGGCTCTGCATGGCCTAGGTTTTTAAAGTGGCGATCAGGGCTGGCCCTTTAACACAGTGGTTAAGAGAGCCAGATCCCAACGGCTGACTGTGGTTCAAATTCCAGCTCTGGGAGCTTGAAAACCATGCCAGGCATGTATGCACGTGTGCCCAAATTCCCGATAGGATGGAGAAACGGAGAATGGGTGGGGCATGATCATATTCCATCGGGAAATGATTTCTCTGTCTCTCTCTGGTGAGCGCTTGCAATAAAAGAAAATGGAAATAACATTTAAAAACATTTTAATGTCTATTTCTTTCAGGGCCAGCAGGTGGCATGGTGGTTACAGCATTGGACTCCCCCATGGCTGACTGCGGTTTGAGTTCCGAGTCCTGGCAGCCTGAAAGTCACACCAGGTGTGTGTGCGTGCATGCCCAGGGTCCCAGGATGATAATGGAGGAGAAGAGATTCAGTGTGGCCATCCTCCCTGAGGCAGGCTGATTTCTCACTTTCCCTTTTTTATTTTGAGAGATTTTTGCTATATGGTGTGTGCACTCACAGACAGAAAGTGAGAAACCTTCCCCCAGGGAGCCGGCCACACCACAATCCCTTCTCTTCCACTCTCCTCTCAGGATTTTGGGCACACAGGCACTCGCGCTCACCATGAGTTTCAAGTCACCATAGCTGGGACTTGAACTGCGCTCAACCATGTGCGAGTCCAGCACCCTAACCACTATGCCACCTGCTGGCTCCATCACTTTCCCTCTTTTTGAGAGAGAGATTTTTGCTATAGGGTGCAGGTGCTTGCTAGAGAGACAGAGAGAGAGAGACAGAAAGTGAGAAATCACTCCTTCGTAGGGGATGGCCATGCCGTAATCCCTTCTCAACTCTCCTCTCGAGATTTTGGGTATGCATGCACACACACCCAGTGTGAATTTCAAACCACCAGGTCCAGGACTCACTCAGACTGCGGTCGACCATGTGAAAGTCCAGCACAGCAATGTCACCATTATGCCATCTGCCAGTCCCTCACTTTCCCTTTCTGTATCTCTCTCCGGCAAACTCACGTGCTCTATGGCAGAAAACTTCTATTATGTGTCAGCTTTGCAGAGCACGGTGTTTTACTGCTGCGCCACCTTCTTGGCCCAGAATCACAATTTTTTTTTAAGAGGGATTTTTGCTATGAGCGTGCGTGCACTCATGAGAGAGAAAGAGACAGAGAGAAAGCGAAAACACCCCCCAGGGGGATGGCCACACCACAATCCCTTTTTCTTTTTTTTTTTTTTTCCTCCTCTCGGGACCTTGGGCACACACACATACATGCCCAGTGTGAATTTCAAGTTACTGGCTCCAGGCCTTGAACTGTGGTCAACCATGTGGGAGGCCAACGCCCTAACCACTATGTCACCAGCTGGACCCCCAGAATCACTTTTTTTTTTTTTTTTTTTAAGATTTTTGCTCCAGGCCACGTAAGCTTTCTGGATAGACAGAGAGACAGTAAGTGAGAAATCGGTCCCCAGGGGAGATAGCCACACCCCAGTCCCTTCTCCTCCATGCTTTTCTTGGGATCTTGGGCACACACACACACACACACACACACACACACGTGCCCAGTTTTAAGCTGCTGGGTCCAGGACTCGAAATGTGGTTGACACGTGATAGTAGTAACAAAACCATTATGCTATCAGCTGGTCCCTACACTACGCATTTTAATGAACTCTTAACTTTACCTTATTTTATTTTAAATTGCCAGGGGGTGTATGTACTCACCAGAGAGAGAAACAGAGACAGAGGGAGAAAACATGTCCCAGTGGGACATGGTCATACCACAACCCTTCTTCTCGATTCCTCCATCCTGTGGAGATTTGGGGCACACATGCACACGGAGGCACCCTGTGTGTTGTTCAAGCCACCAGGGCTGGGAGACAAACCATAGTCAGCCATGTGGGATCCAGCTTCCTTAGCCACTAGGTATGAGCTAACCCTGCGTGAACTTGAAAAACATTTTATTCATGATAGACAGCACATTCATGTGTACGAGATAGAGAAAGAGAGAGAGAGAGAGGGAGAAAGATGCACCCCCAGAAGGGTCTTGTCACACAGGGATCCCCTTCCCTTAGCTCTCCAACTCATCAGAATCTTGGGCAGGTGCTTGCCAGAGTGTTTCAGGTAACCCGGCTGAGGATTTGAACCAGTGTCAGCCATGTGGCATCCAGCATTGCACTTCAGTTATGCTATGCATTGCTCTGTGGAAGCTAGGACTCCATGAACGTTCTGAAGACTCTTAGTACCCTAATGAAGCTCTAACTCTAGTGTGGGGCTCTGAAACAAAGTGGTTTCTGGTAGCAAGGTAATATTCAGATAGAAAAATAAATCATTCCATTAAAAAATTGTTTCGATGGGGCCAGCAGATAGTATGATGGTTGAGGTGTTGGATTCCCACATGGCTGACTGGCTTGCATTCTCGATTTACCTCTTTCTCTGGGACCAGCAGGTGATGTGGTGGTTAAGGGCAATGCATTCTCACATGGCTGACTGCGGTTTGAGTCCCAGACCTGGCAACTTGCTTTCTCACATTCCTTCTCTCCCTATCTCTCTCTCTCTCACACTCTGTCCCTCTCTGGTCAAAATGAAAAATAAATAAAATAAAATAATTATTTTTAAAAATTCCCTCTCTCCACGTCTCTCTCTCTGGTGAGCACACATGCCCTATAGCAAATTTAAAAATAATAATAATTGGGACCAGCAGATGGCATAATGGCTATGTTGCTGGACTCCTCCCATGTAGTCGACCATGGTTCGAGTCCTGGACCCGGGCACGTGTGCATGCGTGCCCAAGATCCTGAGAGGAGAATGGAGGAGAAGGGATTGCGGAGTGGCCATCCTCCCTGGGGGTGATTTCTCGCTATCTCTCTGTCTCTCTGTCTTTCTGGCGAGCGCACATTGCCCTATAGCAAAAAAAAACCTCCACAAAACTCTCAAATAATAATAAGTAAAATTAAATAATTCTATCAAAAATTTTTGTTTTGCTATCCAGTAGTTGACTGGGGGGGATCTGTTCCTTAATTCAGTACCACCGGAAGAGATCCTATGAGAAGCGATCCACCCAGCAGTGCTGCAGGAAGGTCATTGCGAGCGAGACGTCCATCATCACGCAGCTGTTTGAAGGGCAGCTCCGCTACGACATCGTGTGTTTAAAGTGTGACAACTGTGCCCACAAGAACGAGGTCTTCTCCATCCTCTCCCTGCCCATTCCATCCGATTACGAGTGCTCCCTTCAGGTAGGGGTGCTGTTCTCGCGGCCACTGTCTTGTTCTGCCCCCTGCCCTGCATTTTCTCAGGGCCATTTGCTACATTTTTAAGTTACTGGGAATTCAGTTGTGTTTCTAAACGTACCCAACAAAATGGGGGCACTGAGAAGTTGGAACAGTAGACGGCGTTTGTTTAAGCTATTGAGATGGCTTGGTGCATACAGAGAATTTATAACATCTTGTAAAAACATTCACTCTTCCTCAACCCAGAGGTTCAGATTGGGAATTAGATATAGCCTTGAGCACTTATGTTTTGGAAAAAAGCTATGGGACCAGCAGTTGACATAATGGCTATGTCGCTGGACTCCCACGTAGTCAACCGCGGTTTGAGTCCTGGACCCGTCGGCTTAAACACACACCAGGCCCGGGTGCGTGCGTGCCCAAGATCCTGAGAGGAGAATAGAGGAGAAGGGATTGCGGCGTGGCCATCCCCTCTGGGGGGTGATTTCTTGCTTTCTGTTTTTCTCTGTCTCTGTCTTTCTGGTGAGCACACGCGCCCTATAGCAAAAACCTCTCAAAAAAAAAAAAAAGCTATAAAATTTGTTGGAAGGAGATAGTGGACTCTAGTGCCATGGCTTACCTAATTTTCTTCGCCACAATGCCAAAAATTCACCTGGAAGTGGGGGTGCAAGGGTGGGGTGCGTGGGGTAGAGGTAAACAAAGGCGGCCAGGAGCAATACAGTGCCTTATAGAATTTTACACACTTTTATTTTTATTTCTTTTTTTAAATATTAATTTAATCTTATTTAGTATTCTTATTCTTATTTAATTTGACTTGAGAGAGACAGAAGGAGTGAGGGAAGGTGAAAAAGCAAGCCACCAGGTCCAGGACTTGAACCACCGTTGGCCATGTGGGAGTCCAGCGCCTCAACTACCATGCCACCTGCCAGCCCCTTACTTTTCTTTCTAAATTGTGAAAGCAATTCTATGGCTAAAAGTTTTCACATACCAGAATTGGAGAATAGAATCCTATTTCTTATTCACAGCTGGGCTTTGCTCTCAGATCAAACCATGGGAGATTGCTGAAAAGGAATTGCAAACACTGAATGAGGAGCGGGAGGCGTACTGAGGGCACGTCAGTGCTCATCTTCCTCCGCAGACTAATGGCTTAATCGAAGAACCAGGAGGCCTGGCACAGTGACGATAGCTCCTAGGACTGTGGAGTCTAATGTCTCTCTTTTCTCACGTCTTAATTTTGGGCCACCCTAACCCCTGAGATACGGTCATTTTTTGGGGGGAGAGGTTTTTGCTATAGGCCATGTGCGCTCACCAGAAAGACAGAGAGAGAGACAGAGAGACAGAAAGTGAGAAATCACCCCCCAAGGGGGATGGCCACGCCAAATCCCTTCTCCTCCATTCTCCTCTTGGGATCTTGGACACGCACGCACATACGCCCAGCATGAGTTTAAGCCACCGGGTCCAGGAGTCGAACCACAGTTGATTACTGGGAGTTCAGCGACATAGCCATTACGCTAACTGCTGATCCCGAGATATGGTCATTTTTTAATCACCAGATCACTTCAGTGATGAGATAAATGACATAAAACAGCTACCTGACTTCCTCAGTGGAAAATGCAAAGTCAATATGGTTCTGAAAGAAACCAGACACACGAAAGTGCTGACTCACAGATTGTAAGTGAGATGGGCACTGGGATGCATTTTGGTATCTCTGAAAGCGCCCCCCTCCTCCCCCGCTGCTAGGTAGATTTTGTAGCCATCTGGCTGCAGATGGTGACTGGAATCTCTGGACTTGCTGACTTCGAGAAAAACACCACGGCTCTTTCCAAGTTCTAACATAAACAGAGACCCAGGTTCTATCTGGTCCAGTGGGTCACAAGTGCTTTTTCTCCTCAGCAGGACTGTCTCCAGTGTTTTTTTCAACAAGACACACTGACCTGGAACAACCAGATGCACTGTTCCCTTTGTGACACCATGCAAGAAACAGCTGTGAGGGCCAGCATTTCCAAAGCACCAAAAGTAGTTATTTTTCACTTAAAAAGGTATGTGGTTTGACACTTTGTGAGCAGATAACTTCTGAATAGCTTTAATGAGATATAATCCCCATGTCAACAATGACCCCATTTAAACTTCAAAGCTATTTATTATATTACATTATTAATTTTTAAGAATTGTGATAAATATATGTATTTTTTTCATTTTAACTTTATTCATTTATTTATTTATTTATTTTGGTTAGAGTGCATGTGTGCTTGCTGAAGAGTGACAGAGAGACAGAGTGAGAGAGAAGTGAGAAATCCTCCCCTTCAGGGGGATGGCCATGCTGCAATCCCTTCTCCATTCTCCTCTCAGGATTTTGGGCACAAATGCACATGCGCCTGGAATGTTTCTCCAGCCACCAAGGCTGGGACTTGAACCTCACCGTTGACCATATGGGATCCAGCCACCTAACCACTAGACCATGGAGTCAGATCATTTTAGTAAATTTAAGTGTACGGTTCATTGGCATTAATTGTGTTCACGGTGTTTTGCAACCACCATCATTTCCAGAACTTTTTCATCATCCCAAACAGAAACTCAGCACCGACAAAGCAGTAACTCTCTATCTCTCCCTCCCTCAGCCCCTCCTAAGTCCTAATCTACTTTTCCTCTCCAGAAATGTGCCTATTCGAGGTGCCCCATATAAATGGAATCGTATAGCACTTGTCCTTTTTTGGGCTGTTTCACTTAGCAGAATGTTTTCAAGGTTCATCCTTGTAGCATGTTCCAGAATTTTCTTCCTTTTTATGGCTGACCAAGATTCCATTGTGTGTATGTATCACATTTTGTTTTCTATTCATCTGTTAATGAACATTTAGATTATTTTCATCTTTTGGTCTTTTTTTTTAAAAAAGAATTATTTTATTTAACTTTATTTACTTATTGTAATTTGATCAGAGAGGGAGAGAGTGAGAGCTAGAGTGAGATTGACAGAGAAAAAGAGAGAGAGAGAGAAGGAAAGTGAGAAAGCAAGCTGCCAGGCCCTGGACTCAAGCCATGGTTGGCCAACGCCCTTAACCACCATGCTACCTGCTGGTCCCCCATCTTTCGATTCTTATGAATAATGCTGTAAGATAGATAGGTTATGTGGAATTCTATGTTTCAAGGGTTTGGGGGTTCTTTTTAGTGTTTCATTTCTTTGTCATAGAGTGTGTGTACTCACCAGAGAAAGGGAAAGTGAGAAATCAGCTCCTGAGAGGATGGCCATGCCACAATCCCTTCACCTCCATTTTCCTTTCAGAATTATGGGCAGGCATGCATACACGCCTGGCTTGATTTTCAAGACGTAGGGACTAGGACTTGGACTGTGGAGTCAGCTATGTGGGGTCTAGAACCTTAACCTTCATGCCACCTGTTGGCCTAAACATAGTATTTTTTCGAAAGCTCTCGAGTGATTCTTTTTTTATTTTATCTTATTTTCTAAAAAAATTTTTAAAGAGGTTTTTGCTATAGGGCTCATGCGCTTGCCAGACAGACAGCACTCTCATTTATTTTAAAGAGAGATTTTTGCTATAGGGCATGTGAGCTCACTGGAGAGACAGAGAAAGAGAGATGGAAAGTGAGAAATCTCCCCCCCCACCACCACCACCAGGGGGGGATGGCCCCACCACAATCCCTTTCTCCTCTCGGGATTTTGGGCACACACACACACACATGCAGCTGGTGAGTTTCGAGTCGCCGGGTCTAGGACTTGAACCACGATTAGCCACGCAGGAGTCCAGCAACATAACCGTTGTGCCATCTGCTGGTCCTCTGAGTGATTCTGATATGAACCCAGATTTGGGAACCTCTGATCTGGGCAGTAACATAGAATGTGAAAGGTTGTTCACAAAATTTTCTTATTAAAGCATATTAAAATCTCAGAGCTTGAAAATGGGATGCTGCCAAGGAAACGTGCTGAAATCCAGAGGAGGAAAGGCGGCGCCAGCTTGCCTAGAGTGAACGGCCTCGCCCGTCCAGAGCAAAGGCCTCAGGAAGTTCTCAGGGCCGTTTCCTCCCCCTCACGCTGAGCCGCCCTGTCCCCTCCTTCCCCCCAGGTTCAGTTTGGCTTGAATCTACGGGACCTCACTCGGACTCCGAGTGTGACTGACTCTTGGCCACTCCAGACTTACTTGTGGTGAGGCGCATGGGTGTGCTGTTTCTACATATAGTTAGATATGCAAAAAGTCATTTATGTACAGGTCTGTACCAAATAATCTTTCCAAGAAAGTGCTTTTCATTGTACTTGCAATTTGTCAAGGTGCATGGACTTCAGCCATGAGTGGTTCGCAAGCTCACTCTATATTTCATCCATTTTTTCTGCTTCTAGGTTCGACATTCAGGGTATGACAAAAAGGAAACTGAGGACGGATATTCATTACCCACTCACTAACTTGGACCTCACTCCTTACATCTGTCCAGTTGCCCGGAAGCACCCGAAATACAGCCTCTGTGCAGTGGTGGTGAGTAAAATACTAAGGCCAGTAGAAGCAACACATTTTAAGGGACATTCTAGAATGATCTGTTTGAGTCCCTATGTCTTTTCTCCCTGACTTCTACACTTTTTTTCCAAAAGCAAAACGAAACTCCCTGCTGTGACTGAACACAGTAGAGCGCTGTGAGGGCATGCCCTCTTCACCCTCTCCTCACTCCCCTCCACTCGGTGCCTCCCAGGGGCTCCCGAAGTCTGAAGTCCGTCCCAGTAACTTTATGGTGAAAATCACACCTCTCTCTGTGCCAAAGCCCTGAAGCACGAGGTGCAAAACTGGCACAAGGCTCCATACCTGTCCGCAGCCGGTCCTAGGGAAACCTGGGGGCTTTTCCTGCTTCTGAATCAACCGTGACCAATGAGGGTTCCCTGAAGGAAGGAAAGCATGGAGCGTAATTCAGACCATGTTATCAGAACTTCCCAAATCAGCCATTCCCAAGGAGCAAGCTGTTCTCTGGGTTTCTTTCTTTTTTTTTATTTGGAGAGGTTTTTCGCTAGAGGGCGTGTGTGCTCGCCAGACAGACAGAGGGAGACAGAGAGACAGAAAGCCAGAAATCACCCCCGGGGGGGGGGGGGTCACGCCGCAATCCCTTCTCCTCCATTCTCCTCTTGGGATCTTGGGCACGCACGCACACATGCCTGGCGTGAGTTTTAAGCCACCGGGTCCGGGACGTGAACCGCGGTCGACTACGTGGGAGTCCAGCGACATAGCCATTACGCTAACTGCTGGTTCCCTCTGGGTTTCTATTCTAAATCATGCTGTTAAAAATCTCTTTGTGTGTGGTGAGGGAGGGACAGCAGGTGGCGAGGTGGTTAAGGGCACTGGACTCCCACATGGCTGACTGCTGTTTTAGTCCCGGACCTGGCAACTTGCTTTCTTGCTTTCTCTCTCTCTCTCTTTCTCAATCTGGTCAAATTAAAATAAATAAGTAAAGTTAAATAACTTAATTCTTTTAAAAAAAATCTCTTTCAGGGGACCAACAGATGGTGTAATGGTTACATTGTTGGACTCCCAAATAGTCGACCGTGGTTCATAGTCAACCATGGTTCAAGTCCCAGACCCGGCAGCTTAAAAAGAACTCTGGGTTGGGACCAGCAGTTAGCATAATGGCTATGTCGCTGGACTCCCATATAGTTGACTGCAGTTCAAGTCCCGGACCCAGTGGCTTAAACTCACGCCGGGCGCGTGTGCATGAGTGCCCAAGATCCTGAGAGGAGAATGGAGGAGAAGGGATTGCAGCGTGGCCATCCCCCCAGGAGGTGATTTCTTGCTTTCTATCTCTCTGTCTCTCTCTGTCTGTCTGGTAAGCGCACACGCCCTATGGCAAAAACCTCTCAAAAAACCATCAAACAAAAAATCCTCCTTCTGGGCCCATATGCATGTGAGAGAGCCAAAAATCCCCAGTGGAAAATAGAGGAAAAGGGATTGTGGCATGGCCATCCCCCCGGAGAGTGATTTCTTACTTTCTGTCTCTTCATTTCTCCAGCAAGTACACGCACCCTATAGCAAAAAACCTCTCTTAAAAAATCTGTTTCAGAATATACTCATTTCAGACTGGATCTGGAAGTTCAGTTGTGTCTGTATAGATGGGTGGGGCTCCCACCAGAGCCTAATAGGATTCACCAGAATCTTCTGCTATACTGACGTCTAGTATGCCTATTCATCTTATTGTTGATTATTATACTTTAAAATGTTCATCTGACAGGTCTTCCTACTAACATTTCTCAGGACGGTAACTTCAAACTTTAGGGAAAAAAAATGATTGTTGGAGTCAGCAGGTGGCTAAGGTGCTGGATCCCACATGGGTGACCATGGTTTGAGTCCCCAACCCAGTGGCTTGAGAATCAGTCCACATAGGTATGCATGTGTGCCCAAAATCCCAAGAGGAGAATGGAGGAGAAGGGATGACGGTATGGACCTTGCCCCTAGGGAGGCGATCTCTCACTCTCTCCGTCTCTCTCTGGCAAGCACGTGTACCCCATAAGAACAACAAAAAAAAATCCCTTCATGTTTTCTTTTTACTTCCAGCTTTGACATTCTCCTTCTTTCCTATTTATCTTGCCCCCAAATATAGGTTTCTTCTTTTACTCTTCTATTTGGGAATCTAGAGTGGCATCTTCTTTGCTATCACGTCTAACAGACTCTAATGTAAATTCCAAATTAGTATAGAAACGGCCTTCCATATGTTTTTAACTTTTTTTTTTTTGAGACGGTTTTGCTATAGGACGTGTGCACTTGCCAGAGACAGAGACAGAGAGACAGAAAGCAAGAAATCACCACCCAGGGGGGATGGCCATGCTACAATTCCTTCTCCTCTATTCTCCTCTTGGGATCTTAGGCACACACACACATGCACCGGGTGTGTTTCAAGCTACCAGGTCCGGGACTCCAACTGTGGTTGACCATGCGGAAGTCCAGCGCCTTAACCGCTGTGCCACATGCTAGTCCCTTTGCCCATTTTCGAATCCAGTGGTTGTCTTACTATTGAGTTGTTCCAGTGCTTTATGTATTTTGGATATTAGCCCCGTTATCATACAAGTTTGCAAATGCTGTATTTTCCCCACTCTGTGGGTTGTCTCTTTGTTGTCTCCTTTGCTGTGTAAAAGCCTTTTAGACTTATATAATCCCACTTGTCTAATTTTCTTTTGTTACTTGTGATTTTTTGGTTATACCCAAAATATCATTGCCCAGACCGATGTTGTGGAGCTTTTCCCTTTGTTTTCTTGTGAGAGTACAGTTTCAAGTCTTCTATTTAAGTCTTTAATCCATTTGGAGTTGACTTTTTGTTTATGCTATGAGATAAACATCCAATTTTATTCTTTTGCGCATGGATACCCAGTTTTCCCAACACTATTTATTTATTTTTATTTTTTTAAATTGAAATTTAAGAATTTTTTAAAATGTAAAGTTTTTGCCATAGGGCATGTGCACTCACCAGAGAGACAGACAGAGAGAGGGAAAGTGAGAAATCACACCCTGAGGGGATGGCCACACCCCAATCTCTTCTCCCAGTCTCCTCTCAGAATTTTGGGCATGCACACACACATGCTTGGCATAATTTTTCAAGCCATTAGGTCCGGGACTTGAACCACAGTCAGCCATGTGGGTGTCTAGCACCTTAACCACTACACCACTTGCTGAACCCAGAGATTTTTGTTTTCCCTGTGAAAAAATTTCACTTGAATTTTCATAAGAATTGCATTGAATTGTAGATAATTTTGGGTAGTATGAATTTTTTCCCTTTTTTTAAGAATTATTTTATTTAACTTAATTTTATTTTGACCAGAGAGGAATATAGAGAGAAAGAGACAGAAAGAGAAAGCCACCAGGTCTGGGACTCGTACTGCAGTTGGCCATGTGGGATACCAGCACCCTTAACCACCACACCATCTGCTGGCCCATTTTGGGTAGTATGAATATTTGAACAGTTTCTTTTCTCAGTTTTATGCATTATTCTCTTAGACTTTTGCAAGTTGCTTTTTTCATTGAATATTGTTTTAAAAATTTACCAATATTGCTGCATGTGGCTATTTCTCAGACATGTATGAGCTGTATGACTCCATGAATTATCCACTGCCCTACTGATGGACATTTTTATTTTTTTGGAGAGGTTTTCGCTATAGGGCGCGTGCGCTTGCCAGACAGAGAGAGAGAGACAGAGAGACAGAAAGCAAGAAATCACCCCCCGGGGGGATGGTCACGCCGCAATCCCTTCTCCTCCATTCTCCTCTCAGGATCTTGGGCACGCGTGCACACGCGCCCGGCGTGAGTTTTAAGCCACCGGGTCCGGGACACGAACCACGGTCGACTACGTGGAAGTCCAGCGACATAGCCATTATGCTAGCTGCTGGTTCCCCTGATGGACATTTGACTGCAGCATTTTGCTATTATAAATGTTGTGGACATTCTTGCATGGATGGTGTGCGAGTGTCTCTAATACACTTGGGAGTGAAATCACTTGGATCGCAGGGTACATGCATGTTTAACTTCTGAGGTGACGTTATGGTTTTCAAAGTGGTTACACTAATGTACACCTTTAGCAGTATCTACAGACTTCTTATAGTTGATGTGAAATTATCTCTCAGTATGTTCATTTTTTAAAAATTATTTTATTTAACTTTATTTATTCATTTATTTATTTTAATTTGACCAGAGAGAGAGTGAGTGAGAGAAGAGAGAGGGAAAGTGCAAAGGCAAGTTGCCAGGTTGGGGACTCGAACCATGGTCAGCCATGTGGGAGTTCGGCACCCTTACCCACCACGCCACCTGCCAGCCCCATCTCTCATTATGTTCTTAAATTTCATTTTCCTGATGATTAATAAGGTTGAGCAACTTACCATATATTTTTAGGCAGTAGTTTGTCCTATTCTATGAAATGTCTTTTACATATATATAAACGTTACTTTTCTTTTTTCTGGATTTGAAGTTCTTTCTTTGGTTTAGATAATATTTGTGACATATGTTACAAATAACTTGTCTCAGTTTCTTTTTTTTTTTTTTTGAGAGGTTTTTGCCATAGGGCGTGTGCGCTCGCCAGACAGACAGAAAGAGACACAGAGACAGAAAGCGAGAAATCACACCCCGGGGGGATGGTCACGCTGCAATCCCTTCTCCTCCATTCTCCTCTCGGGATCTTGGGCACGCACGCACACGTGCCTGGCGTGAATTTTCAGCCACCGGGTCCGGGATGCAAACCACGGTCGACTATGTGGGAGTCCAGCGACACAGCCATTACGCCAACTGCTGGCCCTAACTTGTCTCAGTTTTTGATTTCCTCTTTTTGTTCCTAACTTTGAAAACTTTTCTTTTAGGTTTTTGCTATAGAGTGTGCAGCCTTGCTAGAGAGACACAGAAAGAGGGAAAATGAGAAATCATCCCCAGGGGAATGGGAATGCTGCAATCCCTTTTCTTCAATTCGCCTCCTGGGATCCTGGGCATGTACACACACACACACACACACACACACACACACA